TTCTAGTAAATACATAAAAAATAATATTTCCTAACAACTCGTTTTGTCTTCATCATACTGAACCATTAGATAAAACGAATACCACAAACTTTATTCAATTTATTTAAATATACTTTTTCGCTTCTAAGAAAATTAATTAGATGTTTTAAGACTTCACTGATAGATAGCGCTGAGGACAGGGCGCAGCGCGCTGTTTCGCCAAGAATTGGTACTAACCTGGAGCCATTCCTTGACTGCAATATAACTAAATATTGTAACATCTCTCTTATATTTTACAAATAATAATAATATAACCTCGAAAGATCACTTTATACCGTTAGGATACTTCCTAAATAAACAAGAGGTTATTAAATAATATATAAAATTATAAGAGTATTAATATATTGGCCTTAAATTTAATAGACTTAAATTTATCGCTAAATGCTGGGCACTGTCAAAAACCTTTTCCTGACAATAATTCCTGAAACCTTGTTTTTGTTTAGATTTAAATACCGGATTTAACCCACACCACTAGCAATTTTTTTTCTTACAAGAATGGAAAAGGCCCCCATTTTTAAGGCCAGTTATATTAAATACATCTCTTTGAATTAATGCTCATATAGGACTGGCAGCTATAGGCAAAAGTCCCAAAATAAGGCTCTAGTAGCTGACATCCTTTAAATTTCCAAATCCTTAACAAAATACAATTAAAAACAGATAAAACATAATCAAAAACAACCTAAGAAAAAATAAAACAAACATTTTGAAATAAATCAAAGTAGTTAAAGTGAAAAAGTCAAACCTAAGGTATGATGCACTTGATAAAAGATAGTTGTTTCAGGCACACCAAGTGGACCGTGAGGGACCTTCCTTATTTTTCACCAATTATTTCGGTTAAGGTTCCCGGCATGAATAAAGCAGAGCACATAAATGTAGAAGGAGGAAATATAGAAGCCGTGCATTTATGAAAAAGAGGTCTAAGAGGTCCTGAAATGTTATTATTCCTACTTTTCGAGAAGGATGTGAGGTATTGGTATCTGTATTAGCTACTGCTGCTTTTACCCTAATACAGATTTCAATTTCAAAGCTAATTCTTAACAATAATAAAGGTAAATAATTTCAGAATTATGTTTTCATTTTGTCATCAATATCAACGCTGTAGTTTTTAATAACTATCTGATCAATATATAGAAATTAAATTTTTGACTTTATTAACTCCTACAAATTAAAATGCACCTATATTAAAATTACAACTATAGCTTTTAAAAGTAATAGCTCATAGTCTGTGATACAGACACTTTTTATCAAAGTATTAAGATCCGCCTGAAACTTCATAAACAGTTTCATCTCATTGTAACCCACAACTGTTTTATTTAAGAAAACTCTTGGGATTGAGGCATTTTCAATCTGGAAGAGGGTAAACTTTATTTATTTAATTAGGTACTAAAAACTTGTAAATACCCAATTACTTTCTACTTGTGTCTTAAGATAATTTGATAAAAAAATTGACAGAAAAGGTGGCTCACAAAAATATTGGGCAGTTTGTCCAATATAGCCTCATTATTTTGATAATTTGGGGGCGTAGGACACGCCTTAACATTTTTGAAGGGCACCTTGTTTTTCGATTTTGTGATTAAATTATCTTACGCTCCAAGTAGAAATCAAATGGGTATTTACAAGTTTTTAGTACCTAATTATATAGACAAAGTTTACCTCCCTCCAGATTGGGACCACCAATTCCAAGAGTTTTCATAAATAAAATAGTTGTAGGTTACGATGAGATGAAATTATTTATGAAGTTACAGGCAGATGTTGATAATTCGATAAAAAGGGATCTGTACCATGGACTATTAAACTTTTAGTTTGGTAAAAAATGATTTAATTACTGTTTCATATAGTTGGTAATAGAAAATTCTTAATCTTAATTAATCTCAATCACTGCAATTTAAAGTAAAAGATTTTATTTTTGTAGTTACAAGTAATTTTAAGATAATTATAATTAGTCATGGCAAATAATGCCGAAATTCACTACAAAAAGTAATTAGAAATCTATTCAATGAAAATGGCTTTAAAAAATATTAATTATTAAATTGTCAATCATAAAAGCTGAATGGAAATGTTCCCAAATATACTTATGTCTAATTACTAAATTTTTTTATTTTTTATTGTTAACAAAACTGCAATAACAATTATTTAGCACCAAGATATACTTTTAAATGAAACATTAATTACTATTAAAGTAATTTTAATCAATGAACTCAATAACAATATTTGTAATTGACTGTTGCACTTATTTTAATGCATTTTTCTTTAAAGTTTTACTCAGTTATAAGCAAGGCCCGGATTGTTATACAATTGTATATTTTGTTTGAATACAGTTTTAAACCAGGTGATGAATTATCTTTGCGAATCGGTGTACCCAGCTACAATTGTTCAAATAAAAATAATAATAGTATTTGGAAAATGATTAATTAAAATTTAATATTATGATAATGTTCCATAGTATAACTGTGGGTTGATTTACTTACAATTAACAAAAACATTGACTTCATAGAATATTCACTTTTTTTTTCATTTTCAGACTTTTTATCTCCTCTTCTCATTCGTTTCAACACCCGATTCAGTTTTAATTTCTTACTTTTTTAACAAGCTGTTGTATTTTTATAATATTAAGAGCATCGTTTTCCTCAAAACTGGAATATTGGATCTACTTTTATGATCCCAAAGATCAAACAGTTTTCAAAACTCATTGAAAGGTTCATTTCTACTGAAACCAAACCAATAATTGTAATAGGATACAAATTTGCTTCTATTGAATCTGTTGCAGAATGATCATTTTCATTATTATAAAAAATATTTCAAACGATGGAATATTGGATAGGTTACCTAAACTGGCAAACATTTTATAATAGATTTGGAATATTTTATTGATTGAGACTAATGAGGTCTATATTACAACCTGAAATCCATTTATTAATTTTGATCTGACATCGCTTAATAATTCTGAATAGGAGTTTTATTCATTTTGTTCCTATTGTCACTGAAGTTTTTAGTTAAAACATAACTATATTTAAAAAAATAACATTTAAGAAAAACAAGTCTGTACTAAATTAACAGTAATTAAGGTGATCCTAGGGTGTGTAATGTAGGTGACCTAGTATAAGTATAAGTGAGTGCTGTACTGTTTTGTGTTAGTGCAGTGTACTGAACTCGGGGTCCGGAGGATCGTCAATGCCCAGTAGCTGCACACTTCAGCTAGCCCCTGCGGTTTCTATTCATTTTGTTAATACAATTTGACCAATTGTAGCAGGGTACACTGATTCGCATAGATAATTCATGACTAAGTTAAAAACTGCATTCAAACAAAATATACAATAGTATAACAATCCAATTCTTGCTTATAACTCAGTAAAACTTTAAAGAAATAAAATTAAAATAAGTGCAACAGTCAATTACAAATATTGTTATTGAGTACAATTATTGAAATTATTTTTCATAGTAATTAATGTTTCATTAACAAGTATATCTTGATGCTAAGTAATTATTATTGCAATTTCGTTACCATTAAAAAAAAAATTGAGTAATTGAACATAAGTATATTTGGGAACATTTCCATTCAGCTTATCGTTAACAATTTAGTAAATCATTTTTTTAAAGGCCATTGTCATTGAATATATATCTAATTACTTTTTTGTAGTGACTTTTCGGCATTACTTGCCATGGATAATTATAATTATATTAAAATTAATTGTAATTACAAAAATAAAATCCTTTACTTTCAATTGCAGTGACGCATTAATTAAGATTAAGAAATTTCTATTACCAACTATATGAAACAGTAATACAAATAATGTTTTACCCAACTCTGGTCTAAGCTATTACTTTTAAAAGCGATAATTATACTTTTAATATAGATGTATTTTAATTTAGAGGAGTTTATAAAGTCAAAAAATTTAATTTGTTCAGACACTTATTAAAAATCACAGAGTTGATATGATTTAGATTATTGTTAATAATTATTTTGTAATCAAAACCTGTATTAGGGTAAAAGCACCAGTGTAGCAATACTTCACTTCCTTCAGGATCTTCTGGATCTCTATTTCATAAATGCGTATCTTCTATAATTTTTCTATGTATATTTATGTGTTTACCTTTATTTTTGCTGGGAAGAGTAATTGAAATAATATGTGGTAAATTAGGAAGGACCCTCATGGTCCACTTAGTGTCAGAGGAACAACCATCTTTCAGCAAGGGCATCACACCTTAGGTTTGACTTTTCCTCTTTAACTAATTAATTCTGAAATTTCGTTTTATTTCTTCCTGGAGAGTTTTTTACATTATGTTTCATCTGTTTTTAACTTCTTTTGTTAAAGGATTTGGAAATTTAATGGGTGTTAGCTATTGGAGTCTTGCATTGAGCTCTTCACCTGTAGCTGACACGCCTAAAGAGCATTAGTTCAAAAAGATATACTTAATATAATAGATGTTAAAAACGGCACCATCTATTATATTACTCTCTCGTAAAAAGAAAAAAAAAATACTAATGGTGTGGATTAACTACAAAGCAAAAATAGAGTTTCCAATTGTCAAGAAAAGATTCTTGAAATGAAACAAAATGAAAAATCATTTTATTCTGGGATTAAAATAATAAAACATACTGATCTTGACAGTATTATAAAATAAACTATAAAATCCTGCTATTTTTTTCTTTTTTCTATCACCAATCAATTTGGAAAGCCCCTCCCCTCCCCCCAAATCAAATTGGAGCATCTGCATCTAACAGGCTATAAATAGTTTTGTAGCCCTTAGAGTCACTCAAATAAACCAACTTTTATGCTATATTACTATATTAACATTTATGCTATATTACTATATTAATATTTATGCTATGTTACTATATTACTATGTGTAACAGGATGAATATTACAGAAACTACTCACATATATTGCAAAATATACAACTATAGGCCCTTCAAGTATGGATGACTCTTGGTCTCCTGAACGAACTTCCTCCACTTTCCTTTATCCAGTGCCATATCCATCCAGCACAGATGAATCCAAGGAAGGAAACAATGTAGGATGTGCTGTAACAAATAAGGAGAATCAACTACTATTTAAACTGCGAGCTGAATGCTCCATTTTTACAGGAGAGGCGACTGCGACTGTCATCATGAACAGTCTTTATTTTAAAAGAGATTTTAGAAAAAAGTGCTGAGTCGTTGTAACTGACTCATGGAGTGTCATAGCCGCCATCGACAACCCCTTCCCAAGTAATTCTATTATTAAAGAAATAATAAATGTTTGATAAATAATAAATAATAAATGTATGGAGGGAAGTAAAAACAAAGGCATGTCAATAGTATTCGTTTGGGAACCAGTCCACAGCGGCATTGCAGGAAATGAAAAAGCTGACCAAGCAGCCCAAGAAGTGAAGAACAAACGGCGGAGATAAGATTAAAGATAGTTACCTTAGAAAACTGGCTACACCATTAAAAAAAAATACTACTAACAGAATGGAAGAAAGAATATGAAAGGAAAGAATGCAAAATGACTGAAATAAAACTTGATTGCGACAAAGGGCTCACAAGCAACAGAAGTTCAAGGAGAGGAGAAGTTATGCTCTGCCGACTAAGGATAGGACACTGCCAGTTTACACATGGCTACCTTCTAAGAGGACTCGAAGCCCCCTCATGTGAAAAATATAATAACGTTCCACGAACAGTTAAACACTTACTGGAAGAATGTCCTCAATTTTAAAATTACAGTCGAAAAACAGGTTTAGCCAAAACATTAAGAGAAATCGTTCAAGATACTGAAGAATGAATCAATACTTAGTTTGAATTTTTAAAGTTAATAGAGTATCATAAAAGAATATAAATCGTTGTAAAACGCCAATGACCCTTGAGAGTAGAGACGCGAAAGAAAGAAAAAAAATAAAAATAAAAAATTGCACAACTTATAAAGCTAATATAACAATTTAATGAAGATAAAAATAAAGATTAACAGTAGTAGCAAATAACATTATGCTAAATAATTATATTCACAACCGGTTTCAAATTTGCAATTGATGAACTAAATATGTTTTGATAATTTGAAAATAGCATATGCTCGTCCAGAATGTTATCTTGAACTTTGAATCATCAATTGTTAGTATTAAATGGCCTTTAAGTTATATAGGCTTTGTCTAATTGATAAGTAACCGATGAGTTGAAAGCTTTATTATCAACATATACATGAATAAATTAATCAGATATAATAATAGTGGAATCAAATTGGAATCAAAACTCATGAATGTTGAAGGAGCAATTTTTTTCTTTTTCTTGATCATTTAGAAGAACACAATTACCTTATGAACAGACCAAGGCACTGTTTGATTGTGTCGGATTCATTAAGCTTACTCAAGTCTTTCAAAAACACAAACTCAGAAGTTGTTTTGATGACAAAAATTCAACTTATTGAGTGAGAAAGTGTATATTAAAGCAAAACAATAAAATTCTCATGAATTTCTTCTGACTTTAACATTGCAGGAAATGAGGATGCTCACCAAACTGCTAATCCATCCAAAATAGATACTGTTACTGAGGTAACACATGTCAATAAGATAACTTAAAAAATATGAATCGTGGGCCAATGAGTTGAGGAAGAGATGACAGAAATGAGAAAAGATTAAAGATGGTCCCAAAGGCTTGCAAAACTGCTAAAAGGAAAAAATGCCAAGGAGAGGTTGTCTTACCTAGGTTATGCACAGGGCAATACAGCCATGATGCGATGAAAGTATTCTACCCACCAACCAACCTGTAAGTTACCTCTAAACGTGGAGCAAACTTTATTATAGTGTGAAACCCATAAAGGTGTGACATATTTGAAAGACTGGATATCACACTAGGCAGTTGTGAAAATAATCATGAGAAACATATAAGTTTTTAAAAAATCCAGACTTAATCATCTCATTAAGTAAATTTAAAGAACATAGTATGTAAAATAAAACCTCAGAGTTCTGATAACAATGTAATGTGTTTCAATATTCAGTGTTATAATATATACAAATTGTAAAAAAAAAACAAATTTTGTGAAAATGTTAATGACCCTCAATGTGTAGATGCATTAATATAAATAAACGTTGTGTGTAAAGTTGGCCACCATTTCTTCAGTTTTCAATCTATTCTTTGACGAAATTTAAAACAAATTAATATATTTTTTTTTTTATGTAGACAATGTCACCTCCATCTGTAATCATTAGTAAAATCTATGTAAGTCATTAACTAATGTTGTTAAAGCAATGATAATGATTTAGAAGTATTGATTTAAGAGGAAAGAATATATTGACTTGTGTGATGACTGGTTATAAGTCTATCTTTAAAGAAACATTCACTACAAACAGATATATTATGAAAAAACTTGACTTTGAAGTTTTTGATATAACGAACTGAATTGCAATTAACAGAAAGAATTACAATATAATTACAATTTTTTAAAAGCTTTAATGGGTGCAAAATTACTAAGTTTGTAAGCCTTTAAAGCCTTTTCATATCAAAATTTTATCATAAGTTAATATCAAAAAGTTAGATAGTAGCTACACAAGACCAATATGAGGACCTGATACCAGATTATTTACACGGCAGATCTAGCTGTGTCATCCAGTTAGTTAGAGATACAGACTAGAATAAATCATGACAAAATTCCTAACATAAGAAACATGTTTGTATATTTAAGTATATACCAGATACCAGTTACAAAAATCAATAAATTTTTAACTGTTTTTCTTTCCTTTCAGAGTCCGACCTTGTTCAGATGACTGAAGCGGCATTTAGTTTCAATCCTTCAAAAAATGTCTTTTTTAGAAGTATTGAATATAATGCCTTGAAATAATTCACTAATTTGCTGGCAGTTATTGTATCAAGAAATTTTTTAGAGTATTCTATGCTGTTCAATATGTGCTCATACATCCGTCAACTTCAAGTTTTTTGTAAATTGAATGACATTTAAAAATCTTTAAAAATAAAAGAATGTATTTCGTAAACTAAAAAAATATCAAAACAAACAAAAAAGTAAGTTAACCAAAGGTAGTCATACATTTTTATTAAACATAAATCCAGAGAATTAAAGAAATTCGCTACTCACAAAAAATGAGATAAATCCAGTTTAAAACATCTAAATAATTTAATTTTTAATGAAAGCAATGAAAGAAAAATAATGAGTTTTTTTTTTTTTTTAACAAAACTGGTATAACATATAAATATAAGAAATACAGACTCCTTGATTGTAACAGACTAAAAACATTCCAACAAGTGTTATTCCTAAGCGTGACTAACCAGGAGAGCCAAGCCATGAGGGGAGGTCTCAAGAAGGTCGATGGCACATACTCCACCCCCTCTCAAGAAATAAATTTTATAGCTCTCCTCTTCTTAAAAGCAGTTTAATTAGTTAAAAATTGGAAACATTATAGATCAAATACAACATGTGGTGTGTCTGTTCCATAGCTTTCCATTTGTTCCCTGCTTTGTAAGTTCTTTTTAATTTATTCCACAAAAATATGGTTCTTCTGAAAATTCATAGCCTCATTAAAATGTACCCCTCAAAAATTCAAAACTTCACAAAAACATGCCTGCCTAAAAGAGTTTGATGGTGCAACTTGTGTCATGCAATTCCCTTCTGGACATCCCTGTGATCAACAAAAAAGAATAGAGCAAATATAGACTACCATGCTATTAGGGAGGATGGAATGGGCGATCACATTGGTGCATGGATCCCAGAATATCCGGTTCTGAACATTGCACGTTCGATTCCCACCTGGGTCAGTTAATTTTGATTTCTTGACAGTCCCAGGAAATGTACCTTGACATTCCCACTCCTCCTCACTAAACTGCTGCATTTAACAAATCCTTTGTAATTCAAGTCGTCTCTCTCTGGAATTATTTCCTTCCCCATATGCATCACATACAATCAGTTTCTTCTTTCTAATCTGTCTTCTTTAATCACCTATTCCATTCCCAATCAGATTGATCACGAAATGGACGTAAGAGAATGTAATATATGTATATATATATATATATATATATATATGTATGTGTGTGTGTGTGTGTGTATGTGTGTTTAGTTTTTTCTCTTCCTCCCTATATTTTTATTTTTAATTACATATTATTTTGTAAATATTGCTATTGTTATTGCAAAAGGTCGTAAATAAAACTTGAATTTTTTTGAAGAAAAGAAATAAAACCAAAATTTTTTTTACGATTTATTAGTATAATTTCATACTTTATTTCCCTATACTATTTTCGTATTTATCAGACTACTTATAACAGGTGCAGACTACAAAACGTCACCTTTAGCTCAAAAAAAAATAAACATGCAAAATTGTTACATATCACCTTTTGCATTAACAGCAGTGAAATTTTATTTAATATATGGCCACACTGACATGTATTACTTATTATGTACTTATAACTTGTTCCAAAGGGACTTAAATCCCAGAAAAATAAAAATTATTTTCATTTTCATTTCATTACCGTGGTGTATGCGGCAGAGGTGCTAAGACAGGGAGGAGGGGGCTTAATGGCAGAAGTTGTGCCATCAAAAGTTTTCTGTGGGGCTCGTTTTAATAAGGTTTTGAATTTTTGAGTGAAATACACTCACAATGTTAGGAGCTACATTTTAGTGGAGATTAAATTTGAAAGAACTTCCAAATCAGGGAACAAGAGGAAAAACATTATCAGGTTTACAACTTTTTAATCAAACTTTCATTTGCACCATTAGAAGAGAAGAGCAATGCAATTTCTTGAGAGCAGGAAGAGTGCACCACTGACCTTGGGGGGAGATGGGCACTCTTGGGCTGCTCCCTAAAAAAAGTATGTATACTAAATACAGAAAGTTGTGACTAGAACACTAAACAGTAAAAAAAAAAATTTTAAAAAAATGTAAATACTAAATTGAGGAAACTTACTACTAAAATGCCATCTATATTTGAACCGATTAAAGGAAAATGGGACAGAAGTCGCTTTCCAGTGGATACCAGGCCATTGCGGGCTCCACGGAAATGATGAAGCTGACAAACTGGCCAGAATAGGTTCTGGAATGATCCAACCAGATATTCCTCTGGGCATGGATTCAACAAAAAGAATCATAAAACAGACCCTCCAAAGTTCACTGAAAGAGAAATATGTGCGAACAATTGAAGGGAAACGATGGAGTGGATTGCTGGAAGAAAGTGGCAGGATCCCTAGAGACCTCCCTAGAGGGCAAGCCGTGGCATGCTTTAGAATGCTCACAGGCCATGATTTCCTTCAGAAGCACCTCCACCGCATCGGTGTAAAAGCACGACATGCCCTCTATGTTCCTTAGACATAATGACAGAACATCTTGATACCTGTCCTGCATTACAGGACATAAGATGTTCCTTTAATGAAAAGGACAGCCCTTATGGTAGGAGAGCAAAATTGTATTGGACTGCAAGAGCACGCATGGCTGATGAAGCAAGCGTTACTTAGAAAAAAAAAAAACTACTAAAACTGTTGATTATTATTTATTCAATTGTTAACTGATTCATTATTTTATTTTTATTTGCTATCAATTTTGTTTCCCGTCATATGAGCCTTGTTGATAATTATGACTATCTTCAATTTCAACAGCTTGCATTATTATTTTTGGTGACATTTCTAGAGGAAAAATTTATATCTTTATTTACAGTTCTATATTTCAACACTGCAATCACCTACTCTGGAATCAACTTACTCACTGTCTGCGATTATAAATTTTTCTAATAGAAATATCACTAAAATGACTTTACTCAAAAATGTTAAAATTAGAGTTAGTCATTCTATCAACTGAAAATCTCATATATTCTTTTTTGTGTTTAATGTTTATTTTTTCATTAATTAATACATAAATAATATATAGGAAATATACCTTTATAATTAAAATTCGTAAGCACAAAAATTACCCATATGGTCACTAAGAAATATTTTTTTACATATTAAAAAAGTTATTTAGCATAAAAAGCATTATATATATTAGCTGTATATACACCAATCAAAGATTTAAAAAATTTTTTACAAGATCTTGATATTAATTAACATTATGACTTTTTACATCTTAGAATATTCCACAATGTTCAATGTACAAATTTAAACAGATTTTAAACTAATAAGTAACTGCCACTAGTTGATTCAAAGATATTTAAGATATTTTAAAGCATACAGAAATTGTATAAGCAGCTTTATACTTTAGTTTTTAGATAATAAAACAATACTTACTAACAAGCTTAGTAACTTCCGATTGATGAAACGAACCAATCAAATCATTACAACATTGGGGTGACAAAGAAAGACTTTTGAAAATATAAAAAAAAAAAAACATAACAAAACAATCACACTTACTATTGACAATTTGTTGGTACATATTACATAAACTTAGGACATATACTTCAAATAAACAATTCACTAAAGACCATTTTGTAACAAAGTAAGTTTCTATTTCGAGAACACCGTAACCTTTTATTCTTTACCAAACAGCCCCCACCTTCTATTCGATACGAATAAAGTCGATTATTGTCTTATTATTTAAAAAAAATTATCAACTTAATATTGAAATAATTGTTTAAAATATATTCAAAAGGGTAAATTATAGAAATACGAACAACTTTTCTGTAATATAGTTATAGACCAAGTACGATCATGACTGAAATTAGGATGAGGGGGGACAAAGCATACCCTTGGCGAATTTGGAGTGCTGACAATTTTCAATGGAATTTTAATTTTAGTTTGAATACAAATTATTATTTATATTGGTTCCACAATACTATAGAAACCAAAGATTATATATTTGATATTTGAAATACCAAAGGTGACTTCTTTTCCTTCTCACTCACCATGTTTATTCGTATATGCAATATGATATTGTCAAGATATTCTTTTGAAGTTTTATTAAAGATACGGATTAATATATCTCATAAACCAAAAATCGGACCTGCATATGTAAGCACTAGCGGATCCAGAATTTAATTTTGGGAGGGCTTCAGCCCGAAACCTTTTTTTTTTTTCATAAAAATAACGATAATTATTTCGGAAAAACAGAAAGAAACTAACTACCTATATGAAATGGTGTTTAAGTGATTCCTTAAGTAATTTTAAATGTAATTACACGAACAATAATACTTTAAGAGGTATTTTTAAAAAAAAAATTCCCATAAAACATGGTTATATTTTTCCATTTTGGGGGGGGGGGAGGCTTCAGCTCGAAAGCCCCCCCTCCGTAGATCCGCCCCCGTAGAATTGTTCAACATTTCACCTCGAATAGCTCTAGTGTGAAGATAGAGTGAAGAATAGGTCTACATCCCTTTGGTAGGCCAGAGTATATAGAAAGAAACTTTTTGATATTTTTAATAAATAAAAAACTAAGGTTTGGGCTTTAGACCACTCAAGAGAAGTGAAGAGAGTAGAGTGCTATTCTTTACTTTGTCTTCACACCAGAGCACTTCAGATTTTTTTTCATATATATAACGATAATTAATTTGAAAAAAAAAAGAAAGAAATGAACTATCTATATGAAATAGCGTTTAAGTGATTATTGAAGTCCTATTAAATGTAATTACACGAACAATAATACTTTAAGAGATAGTTTTTAATATTTTTTTTTCTATAAAACATGGTTATATTTTACCGATTTTGGGGGGAGGGGAGGGAGCGACTTCAGCCCGAAGCCCTCCCTCCCCCCCGTAAATCCAGGTGTATTGATATGATAAACAAGATACGGCTGAGCTTCATGCCGCAAACTGGAAAGCCGTAGCCCAAGATAGGCAGAGGTGGAGGAATCTGGTTCAGGCGGCCAAGGATTTACAATGTCTGTAGAGCCAACAGAAAAAAAATATTTATATATATATATATATATATATATATATATATATATATATATATATATATATATATATATATATATATATAAATACTCGATCCGTTAGTGCTACCTTATTATTCATAGTGCAGAAATATATGATGTATTGTAGATACATGGTGTAGTGACAACGAGACTGTATAAATATAACAATTAAAAAACTCGATGATAAATATAGAATGCTCTTTCTAAAAATAAATGTAATCCTTAAAAATAATGGAACTGAGAAGCCTAGGTAAGACGAAATCCGGTAAGTTCCCAAAGCGGATTGTTCTCCAGAATCCCAGGACCCAGTTCTTGGGCAATTAGTAAAAGAAGAGGAAAGTGTGAGCCTTTCCCTTCGACAAGAATAATGTTTCTTCTTATAAACATGAGCTTCTCATCAGCCTTTTATACGGCCATGTTAACACAATGTACGAGGCGAAGTCAGCTGGCGTCGAAAAGTGGAAGATGGTCGTGTAACTGGACAAGTTGTTTTCTACTGCTAGGAAAAAGTTTTCTAAAAACGTTTAAATAGAAAATGATTTTTATTTATTTATTTATTTATATGATATTTACAACTGTATACAAAAAATACAACTGGTAAATTCGCACATGGATATAATGACATGAAACACATGTTGAGAAACTACCCATTGGTAGAGAGAGAGAGAGAGAGAGAGAGAGAGAGAGTGAGAGAGTGAAAGAGAGGGCTTATAAAGCTACCAACCCTTTCAAATTATAATATTTACAGTCTTAATACATGAAATAATAGGCAGTTACCCCGTATCCGTGGATTTTAAGTCGAAAAAATTGAGTTTACGATTCAAAAACTAATGGAAGTATTTTTTTATTTATTTATTTATATGATATTTACAACTGTATACAAAAAATACAACTGGTAAATTCGCACATGGATGACATGGAACACATGTTGGGAAACTACCCATTGGTAGCACTCTAATAATATGTCTATATTAGAAGATCACGTGGCCATCTTCTTTTCAGACGCCTCGGAGTGTTATCAGGAATTGAATAGGAAACAAGGTTAGAGACAAGAGGGTTGGGATGGTTATGAAGTTTATTATGGAAGGACAGATATCTGGATTGGGCCAATTCTGATACATAAGGAACATTAAGGTCATTGTGGATGATTTTATTTGTGACAAAGTGAGGAGCATTGAGGATTTTACGAAGGATTTTGGATTGTAAGGATTGGATGCGAGAGGAATTTGAAGGTTTGGTGGAGCCGCATAGCTCAACTCTGTAAGTCCAAATAGGCCTTATTATAGTCATGTAAATGAGTCTTTTACAATTAATTGGAAGGTGAATTAACTATTCACTAATTTAATTTTCTAAAAGGTGGTTACATGATGATTTTTTGGAATAAACGGACTATAGATACCCAAATATTTAAAACTTAAGATATGAATTATAGTCGGATAATAGGTCATGAAATACACTTAGATGACTTAAAACAACTTCTGTTTATTCCATTTTTTCAAAAATGTTTCGATCCCTGTTTTTAAACATACATAATGGAATCCTCTTCAGTTTAATTGATTTATTATTAATTGAGCATCGATACTCCAAGCCGGGCAGCACGCTGACACACGGGTGGGGCTTTTGGGCTGAAGCCCCCCCCCCCCCAAATGGAAAAATATAACCATGTTTCATGGGAAAAAAAATTTAAAAATACCTCTTAAAGTATTATTGTTCCTGTAATTACATTTAAAAGTACTTAAGGAATAACTTAAACACCATTTCATATAGGTAGTTAGTTTCTTTCTGTTTTTCCAAAGTAATTATCGTTATTTTTATGAAAAAAAAAAAGATTTCGGGCTGAAGCCCCCCCCAAAACTAAATCCTGGATCCGCTAGTGCGCTGACAGACCCAACAGTACCGCCACAAGGACATCACTCTTTTGGCTTGGAGTATCGATGCTCAATTAAAAAACTGAAGAGGATCCCATTATTCACATTAAAAACAGGGATCGAAACATTTTTGAATAAATGGAATAAACAGAAGTGATTTTAAGTCATCTAAGTGTATTTCATGAATTATAAATTAAACATTATAAAACATATCTGGTGTGTCCACTCACACGACTTTCCTACCTATTTCAAAAATGTTTTTATATCTTTACATATGTTCATGAAGAAACAAAAAAGAATTGAACTAGATACATTTTCCTGAAAATTGATCAAAATTGAGTACGATTTATTTGATAAACTAAAGCAATGTAAACCGGCTTAAGGTAGATCAGTGTAAAAAATTCAATACCCTCTAATATTGCTGATCAAAAACTTTTTGGCATAGCTTCGTATTGTCAAACAATAATTTCTGTTAAAAGTAGAGGAAATAGTGAACACTGTGTGATGCGGGCAACAGATTTTCTTACTTTCACTTAGTCATCTTTATTCATTCACCCTTTTCTGACATGATTAGTTTTCAAAAACTATTATTTGTATTTTTTTTTTCACTCGCCGTTATCTTATACAACTTTCTGTATAAGATGTTGTTTTTTCCAAAATTCTCCGCTTTCCAACGATATATTATACCTATAAATTCTTACTAGTATTTCCGGAGATTCATTTTCGACGTGGATAAGCATTTTAATTTTTTTCTCCTTTATTCAATTATTAAATTCTTTCAAAAGTTATATTTAGCATTTTTTTGTAACTTTTAATAATGTGAGATCAATATTTTTTTTTTAAATAAACCATATTAAAGGTACTTTAGAAGAAGACGTATATGAACATTGGGCATTTAAGCCCTGTAAAGTCACATCAATGGGGATAAGACCTAATTGGTATTAAAGACCACTTAATTATACAATGATACACCAAAATCAAAATCGTTAGAGCCGTTTTTGAGAAAATTGTAAAAATGGAAACTTTGTCTATTTAATTAGGTACTAAATACTCATTTCCTCTCTACTTGGATCATAACATAATTTGATCACAAAATCTAAAAAAAAGGTGGCCTGCAAAAATATAGGACCGTCTGTGCTCTATAATCTCCTTATTTTGAAATTTTGGGGGTGTAGGTCACTCAAAACGGCTTAATATTTTTGAAGGCCACTTTTTTTATCGATTTTGTGAACAAATTATCTTACGATCCAAGTAGAAAGCAAATGGATGTATACGAGTGTTTAGTACCTAATTAAATAGAGTTTGCCGACCTTCAGATTGAAAACATCCCAATTTCAAGAGTTTTCGTAAATAAAATAGTTGTAGGTTACGATGAGATGAAAATGTTTATGAAGTTTCAGACGTATGTTAATAAAAAATGAGCCTGTACCACGGACTAAAATTGATCTTTTCATTTTTATATTGGTACGAAAGTGCAGCTGCGCTACTCTCATAAAGAAATAAGTGAAGAATATTGAAATTTCAGTTGTCAGTTGTTATTTCTACCAACAAATCAATACCAATAATAAATGACGAAGCGAATTTTACTTTCTCCATATCCATCATACTTATTGAAATAGTAATGCGAAATAGTTTAATAATTCTGCTTTCTCGTCGAGCGCAAACAAATCAAAATATCTTATTACAGGCCATATATGGGTTTATTACGCAATTAGTAGTGAATTAGGCATCATTCTATTTTACCTTCTTTAAATTGAAACCAAAGATTGAACCTGGAATATAATAATATCCAGATTCGAAGATAATAATATTATTGGAATCATCATCATTGGAACAGTTCCTAAACTGCACACTGCTTTGTCAATGCCATCGAAAATCCATCAAACCGTTCCTAAATTCACCGATGGAAGCCATGGATGGAATTATCCTCGTTATTTTATTCAGCGATTAAATCACCGATGGCTCAATAATTGCAATTGGAATCCTCATACCAGACTGAAACGACTATAAACTGCTCTACATTTCGGACTACTTCAACACTTACTAGACAAACGCTCTAACCTTCCAATCAATTATAAAAGACTCATTTACATGACTATAATAAGGCCTATTTGGACTTACGGAGTTGAGCTATGGGGCTCCACCAAACCTTCAAATTCCTCTCGCATCCAATCCTTACAATCCAAAATCCTTCGTAAAATCCTCAATGCTCCTTACTTTGTTACAAATAAAATTATCCATAATGACCTTAATGTTCCTTATGTATCAGATTTGGCCCAATCCAGATATCTGTCCTTCCATAATAAACTTCAGAACCATCCCAACCCTCTTGTCTCTAACCTTGCTTGCTCTTCTATTCCTGATAACCCTCCGAGGCGTCTGAAAAGAAGATGGCCACGTGATCTTCTAATATAGACATATTATTAGAGTGCTACCAATGGGTAGTTTCCCAACATGTGTTCCATGTCATCCATGTGCGAATTTACCAGTTGTATTTTTTGTATACAGTTGTAAATATCATATAAATAAATAAATAAAAAAATACTTCCATTAGTTTTTGAATCGTAAACTCAATTTTTTCGACTTAAAATCCACGGATACGGGGTAACTGCCTATTATTTCATGTATTAAGACTGTAAATATTATAATTTGAAAGGGTTGGTAGCTTTATAAGCCCTCTCTTTCACTCTCTCACTCTCTCTCTCTCTCTCTCTCTCTCTCTCTATATATATATATATATATATATATATATATATATATTTAACATACACACCATTTAATTGGGAATAAGATCGCTTATTAATTATTCAATAAACTACTAAATGTTCATTTCCCCTGTGTTTATTGACGTTTCCATCCCGGTATTTTTCTTTTTATAAGTTAACAATGGGATCCTCTTCAAAGTTTTATGAGCAGAGCTTCGACACCTCAGGCCAGGGACACACCGACAGTCTCAGCACCGTCCACCAGCACATTTATTAAGCTACTCTTTATATATATACACTCTTACTGTAGGGGCTCTATATATTTTTACATGGCCGCCATTTTGTAATCTAGCGGCTATATGATGGCAGACGTGCATTTTTCTCATTAGGCCTGTGGAAATGATCAATTTAAAAGGACAAAGCTTAGTGTGAAATATGCCATCTATTTGCCACGGGCTCTAGGACTATGAGGGAGATCGCTCTCCGTCAGAACGTAACGCCCCGTCTCCCTCAACAACTTGGCCCTCAGTGCCTCAAAGGCGGTACGGATAAGGACGATATGCTCGGCGGTCTCCGGTACTCCGCAACTTAGCCATAAGGTCAAGGGCGTAATGTTCTTACCATATTCAATGGGAGAACCAGGAGGTGATTCGACCGCTGATCATGCTCAACCGACAGATTTTTCCTCTTAATTAATTATTTAATTAAGAATATCCTCTTTATAGAAGCTGGATGTGCCCCGGGAGGATCTCTTGATTCCAGGGACAATCCACAGCCGATGAAAAATATTAAATATTTCATCTGCCATAACCTGGGATTCGAACCTACCTTCGTGAGCATCGGAAGCTCAGCTATCCATCTAACTTAAACTTAATTCTATTACATTTAATTGTTTAGAACATAAATAATTAAATATTAATTAATTATAGGACTATATTAATAAATATCGCGTAAAAACGTTTGGAGGCTAACTTACTACTTGCATTCTCGTTTTATGAAGAAGGCTAAAAAAAAGGCTTAATCGATATATTCCATCGTCCATCATAAACCTCAGTTTTGTCCAACCACCTTATTATATATAATCATAATCATAATAATAATAACCTTACTGTATTGTCTTCTGATGCCTCCTATTAACCTCTCCTTGACTACATTTACAATACTCTAAAGATCTGATTGACATATAAGGAGACAGAAACAATCGTACAACGTAATTTATTGAAGAGAAGAATAGTTGGGGTGCTCAGTCAAATAAGAAGGCAAAAATAAATGATACCATTTATTTTGACAAAATAATTATTTATAATAATAAATTATGTCATAATAAATAGTATCATTTATTTTTGCTTTCTTATTTGACTGAGTACCCCAACTATTCATCTCTTCATTGTTCACGACAGTCAACCATTTACCAATTATGAACGTAATTTATTTCTTGATTAGAATTTGATTTCACACGGGTATTCTTGTTATATTAAAGCGTTTTCTGCAAGAATTGCCTCGATTTAATTAATAAACTTTAATTTCAACTTGAGCTTTAATTGCTATTCTCTAATTATCCGCTCTCTTTCCAAAGTCTATGAATAACAGGGCTAAAGTCGTATAAGTAACTACAGAAAAAACAAGGTCTCAAAGATTGAATAATTGTATAATATAGGAATCATAATTGTCAATAATAATTTATCTGGTGTTAAAAAAGACCATAGATTGAACAAAAAAATCTAGTGCGGTGCACGCATAACATAACTTTCACTTACCACCCTCTTAGCAGAAAAATTATTTTCAGACAAAGTGAAAGTGAAATTAAAAATTATAGTCGCTATAATATAATAATTATTTATATTTCATTGTGGGTATTTTTATTTGTTTAAGTACTCTCATATATAAAAATTTTAATATTTATATTGCTGTATTCTATACAATTGGGGATGGTTGGGGTGATCAGTCAGAAATAAGAAGGCAAAAATAAATAATAATATTTATTTTAAGGGTATTTTAGGTATATAAAAAGAATCTTTGTATTTTGAAATATGTAAAGTTGATATATGACTGTAAGTTGAAAAAAAAAATTTAGACTTGAAAATGGCTCGGCGAGCCGAAATGTCGTAATTGTGGTGTTTAGTCATTAATTTGACAAAATTTTAAAAATTTGGCTGATAATAAATTAACTTGAAAATAAATAGTATGCACCGAAGAAGAAGTGAGATATATTGTGAATAAATAATAATTGTGGGTTGATGGTTGACTGTCGTGAATAATGAAGAGAAGAATGGTTGGGGTGATCAGTCAAAATAAAAAATTGTAAAAATAAATAATTATATTTATTTTAACATTTGCAGACGTTTTGACCTGAAGTTCAGGCCTTCATCAGGGCTCTTCCTAGAGCTCGCTGGGATAAAATGATCACATTATTTCAGAGTTCTAGGAAGAGCTTCCCAACACCAGATCTCAACCTATAGATTTATAAATCCTCTGCTATAAAACCACTTTCTTCAACAAATCCAAATCTTTCGTCATTCGTGCTACCTTTTTTTGGAACTCATTACCTATTCGCCATACGTCAAACCACGTCCTCAAATTGCTTCAAATAATTTCTATTCCTCCACCTACTACACATTCAAACGTCTGCAAGCTTGTAAGAATTTTTAGGTTATGTAATTATAATTGCTTGCCAACAGTTAATTGATAAGAGTCATTTTATCTTTCTCTCAGTATTTTTTGTATATAATTTTATTTTTCTTAGAATTCTTTGTATGTGTTTGTATTATAACTACATGCTAGATTGATGCATATATTTTTTAACTCTACTGTTATTCTAAGGGGACTTTTATTCTGGGGAACACCCAGAATAAAATTATTTTTCATTAATATATTCAATCATCCAAAGCTTCGATAGTATTGCTTGAAAACTCAATAAAGACTTGCATACTTTGTATTTAAATATTAATAATTGTTTTTTGTAACTCTAGAAGTCCAGAGAAGAATAGCATTTGGTCGGAACAAGTTCTGGTCTCTGAAGAATATAACAAAAGGAAACATAAGTATCGACCTAAAAAGGCTAGTTTTCGATAGATGTATTATGCCAGTGGTGACCTATGGCTCCCAAACATGGTCATTGACAAAAGCCCAAGAGAGGAAGATCATGGTGTGGCAAAATAGCATCGAAAGAAGCATTATGAAAGTAAAGAAGATAGATAAAATCAGATGCAAGAAGATAAAAGAAGAAACAGGGCTCAAAGACACACTCTCGCAAATAAGACAAATGGAAATGGGCTGGATATCTCCTGCGATGCAATGACAATAGATGGTCAAAAATAGTCACCGAATGGACTCCATATGACCGGAAAAGGATGAGAGGCCGACAAATGAAGAGATGGAGAGATCCATTTAGGCTTTTGGCAGGACCTCTCTGGTGGAGAGCAGCTAGGGACAGAGATGTGTGGAAAGAAAAATGGTTAAAGGTCAGAAATCCCGCTTCCCAGTAGGGCTAGTCACCCAGGGAAGTGTTAAAGACTATTACTCCTAAGGGAAGGCCTATGCAAGATAGTAAAAAGTTTTGTATAAATTATAATGACGTAAAATAAAAAAAAAATTTTATTTTGTTTTGTTTGCTTTTGTAATTGTATGTTTTCATAGAATTTTTAATATTTATGAGAAATAAAGGCTATTTTCATTTTGTTTCAATTTTACTAAAAAGTAGTTCTAAAATATTTCTCTGAAACACAAACTTGTGAATACCGCTCGCAGTTTGTAGCAAAAGTTTGTAAATATGTTGAAAATAGATTTCCTCAAATATTAAACAACAGAGATATAAACAACAATAATAATTATGGGAATTAAGAATTATATTCGGCTTTATTTATTATATAGTTAACTATTTGGTTAATTACAAAAGTTCCAATGAAATGTCATACAGAAATAAAACTTTATTACAACAGCTTTTACAATTTCAAAGCATATACGAATAAATATAATTCAAAATTACAATTCTATATCTAGCAGTATCCTATTGTAATTTAATATTAATAATTCAATTTACACAGATATTAGATTTTATTTTATTATACAATAATATCTTTACACAAAAAAAGTACATAAGAATACTCAAAGGGTATATAACTCAAAAGGTTTAAATCTAATAAATACTATATTTTGGACTTAATAATACAGAATACTATTATATTACAATATGACACATTACAATATCTTTTAAATCTCTATCATAGTCTTGTTTATTGACTATACTTAACTATTATAATATTGCAATCATCCAGCTCTGAGGATTTCAGTATTTTTAAAAATATTTACAAATGAAATCCTTTTTTTTTTTTAAATTAAAACATAATTTTTTTTTAATCTGTAGATATACATATATAAATAGTTATAAATAATTAATTACATGGGTTCGTTCGCCGGCGTTTTCGCCAAAATAACCTTTTGTAAAACATCGGCGAAGCACCTCGTGTACCTGCGACCGCAGTAGTTCTGCAGTTGCATGTACCTTTAGAAACGGCTGACAAAACTCTAGCTAGAGTACGTTGAGCAATGCCGCGTGGATATTTACATCGGGAAGAATGAGGGGAAGATCTTCCATGTCCTAAGAGTTTGGTCACGTCAGGGAAGACTTACTGAGGTTGGCCGCAGAGCCCAGGTACTTCACAGCTGCGGCGATTTCCTCTTCGATGTCCTGTAACATGGTTCAAAAAGCAATTAAAAATCGTTTCACAGAATGTTGTAGAAATAGAAATTAACTTTATTATAGGACAATAGTCCCTTTAGAATAATAAAATAGTACAAAATTAAAAGACTACATCTGGCCTAAATAGGACAATAACAAGAATATAAATAATAAAAAAATAAAGAAATTATTAGTCAAACAAGATATAAAAAAAAAAAAAAATCTATAACAAGACACTTAAAACTATTTATATCAAGGGCTTTAGCACCAGTGATGCGATTGAGAGAGTAGCGCAGGGATCTCTTGGAGTTCTGCTTTTCCTTCTATATTGTGTATAGGTATGACTGTGTTTTTAATTTACTTATCTTTAGGTTATTTTATTTTTTATTGTACATAGTTTTTGATTATTATTTAGATACTAGTAGGCCCGTGCGAAAAATTCGCACAGCGTAGTGTTATCAAATGCCAAATTAATAAGAAAATAAAATAATGCAACGTATCAAAAGATAAAGAAATCAATTGTTCCTTTATCGATAAATATAATTGATGAAGGAAACAAAAATTAATTTAAATCTTCATCTTTGTTTGGAACCAACATGTTTACAAATTTCAGTAAGCTTTGCTAAAAACTGTCCGATTTCGATGATTTTTTTTTTTTTTTTTTTTGTATAGAATTTACTAATCTTTTATAAAACCATGGGCATAACCAAGGGAAAAGTGTGTAATTTTTCAGTTATTCGCAAATAAAGCTTGTTTTCTTTCATAACTTGTTTGCCTGAATTTTCGAGGTGAATGGACTATTTTGTCTCCCTGAAGGAGAAGGAAGCCTTCGGAATTGGTGGTTCAATCTAGAGATTTGGTGAAAAATTAACTATGATATGCCTAGCCGATCAAAAACACCATCGATAAATAATATATACTCCTCCTCTCTCGATCATAGAGACCTCAACTCGACGAAATGAGACATGTATTCAATGACAGTACTACAATTAACGTAAGGTTGTGTGGATGCGAACCCTATGCCTTGCGTTATCTCGAAAATAGGACGTTTTGGGACTTAAAACGCAGGATCCGATAGTATCTTCGAGATCAACTTATCCGGTATCGATCTACAGACCTACCACATTCAGTATTGAAGCCTAGCAAAATGTTTGTATCGACTTTATTAATTTTAGAAAGAAAAACAAAAGTGGAAAATACGATTCGCTAACCCCCCGTGAAATTCTGAATCCAACGGTACCACATTCTTGGTATTTGAGCATGACAGGAGCTTATATTTGGTACAAAACCGATTTCGAGCCTTACTGTAATAATATATGTGGGGATTATTTTACTTTTGTTAATTTTATATTATCTGTACATATGGTGTGAATGTGTTCATATATCACTATAATTATTGTCCACGTGACAGACTGTTATATTTATAAATAAAAAAATAATGTTCTGACTGAAGAAAAGTATTGGTCTCGTTAACTTCGAATAAACAAAACTATGTACAATTATAGTTATACACTTTTGAGAAAAAATAAATAAAAAATGCCGCAAGTTATTTCACGATGGTTTATTATTTCCAAATAATTATACATCTAAAGTAACATTACCTTCCCAATGAAAAAGAAAAAGAAATAAAAGGTGATTCTAATTATTGGGCTAAACTTTTTTTTTCAATCATTAGTGATATCTCTAAAAAATTATCATTACTTCAGTAACAAATTCAAAAATCAAAAAACCAAAACAAAGCAAATAACCTTTGCAGTATAACATATAAAAAACATCTAGAGACCACATTTTTGCTCCTAATGGTCCGATTTTAACGATTTTTTTGTTGTTGTTTTTTTAGGAAATTTTGTAAACTCTTAAATAACTATACAATATCAACAAAGTGTATAGTTTTTGAATTATTTGGAATCTAATGTTACCATCCCTCGTAACTTTTTTTCTAGCTTCTTTTCGTTGAAGTATGTTATATAGATAAATTTAAATGGCATCGGGAAGGAAACTTTAATGAAGTTTCATTGAAATCGGTACATTCGTTTAGGCGCTACAGTCTATAGCGGATAGTAATGTCGATGAAGGCGAATCATCCTCGAGTGACCTCTGACTTTAAATCCAAATTTGAAAAAAAATCGGTCCAGTAGTTTTGGTGAAGACGGCGGACGGACAAAAATATTTTTATTCGTTTTTCGAATTCTACGTATCCTAAAAAGTAAAACCTGAAATTTTGAGAGAGGGTTAAGTTATTGCATTTTTTGTTCCATTATAATAGTTCATTATTGAAAATAATAGACCAAAAATATTTAAAAATAAACGAAAACCATAAATAGTTATATTTTATTTAAGCTGAAAATAAAGCTCAGTTTCAGACTTGACTATAACATTTTCTAAAAATATTCAACAACCAAAATAAAGAGCATTTGAATACATAGCTAATTGTAATTATAAAACATGTCAACCAGAATTTTAAACAGTTTCACATTTCATTATGTTTCTCAATCACATCTGATAGACATGTTTTTGGCGCAGTTTACACAGTTCCATTCACTATTTTGTAATTCCAGAAGAAGAGCTGCCAAACATTAAAAGTCCCGCTTGCCAAGTTGTGAAATCTAGTAGATACTCCTACTTATTGATTCAGTGTGGAATATAGAAAATAATAGTTTTACATATTTTTTTATATCAATTATAACAAATTATAGAGAATCGGTAGGGTAATCTGGAATATTGTCCTCCGCATATTATTGGCAAAAATTCCATATTGTACATCGGCATGTAATCTGCCCTAATTGGAACTATTTTAACTGTCTGATCTTTACCGAATGTGATTTTTAATTTATGCTTAAGAGTGTTGTAATATCTGTTAAATAGTATAAAAAGGAATTTGTATTTCCATAAGGATAATATTGTTTGTTTTTTTGTGATATACTCCATTTGTATAGGGTTCTTTGAATATATGTAGAAAGAGAGTTAGATCATTATAATAACGTATATTATACAAATTTTTTTTTCTTCAAATTCTCGGAATTGACATGTAAAGTATCTATTGATCAAACTTTTGAAGAGTTGTAGATAAACCAGTAAAATAATATATATTCTTGAAAAAAATTTAATTATTAAAAACTTTTTTATCTACGACTTAATCATAGAAAGAAGCAATCAAGAGTTATCTAGTCAAATACAGTAAAAACCATGGTATTAAATTTTTTTATTCCAAATTAGCAATAGTTGAGAATGGATATCTTAGAAATTAAGCGAGATAACGAAAAAAGGTACATAATAAATCATATTGCAAATTTCCTCAGCTTTAATTTTGTATAAAATGTCATTTTCGATGCGATGGATAATTTTCCTGATATAATCGAAAGCCCGAAAAGAGTGATCTTCAAGCCCCTCCTCACATATGACCACCTAGGAATGGGGGCTTTTAGTATGTTTGCCTCCTTACTATTCTAAACAATGTTCCAAAATAAAAAAAATGTATCCCCGCCATTTCCTTCTATACACTCTTTTCGAGCATTCATTGACTGGACTAGTGGCCTATCGTAGCATAACGTATAACTGCCAAATACGATAGTATCTCATCACTCTCTTAATAAAAATTCAATTATAAATGCAAATGGAATACCTTTTAAACTAAATATTCTTATTAAGAGAGGAACGAGTAAGAGAAAAATCGTAAAGATATTTCTTGGATGGACGTTTAAAAGCTGGAAAAACTATTTTAAGTTAAAAAGTTAAAAATAAACTCCAATAAATCCCACCAAATTACCTTTACCCTTCTTCGTAAACCAACGACTTCCTGTCCTACAGTTTCCTTTAACAATACTCCACTTATTCCTGTTGAGCAAATCCGATACCTAGGACTCCACCTGGACAAACGACTAACTTGGAATCCTCATACTAGACTGAAACGACAAGAAACCGCTCGACGTTTCCGATTACTTCAGCACTTACTAGACAACACGCTCTAAACTTCCCATTAATTACAAAAGACTCATATACTTGACTATAATAAGACCTATTTGGACTTACGGAGTTGAGCTATGGGGCTCCACTAAACCATCGAATTCCTCTCGCATCCAATCCTTACAATCCAAAATCCTTCGTAAAATCCTCAATGCTCCTTACTTTGTCACTAATAAAATTATCCATAAAGATCTCAATGTTCCTTATGTTTCAGATCTGGCCCAATCCAGATACCTATCCTTCCATAATAAACTTCAGAATCATCCCAACCCTCTCGTTTCTAACCTTGCTTACTCTTCAATTCCTGATAACCCTCCGAGGCGTCTGAAAAGAAGATGGCCCCGTGATCTCCTAATGTAGTCATATCATTAGAGTGCTACCATTGGGTAGTTACTCAGCAATTGTATTCATGTCATTATATCTATTATGTCCAAATTTACTTGATGTATTTATGTGATACAGTTGTAAATGTCATAAGAAATAAAAAAAAAAAAAAACTTGAAAAGTATAAGATATCTAATGGAATGAGCTAGATGTTGGCAGTGCCCCCAGCACTTTTCTTTAACATTACTTTTTTTTTAACAGCTCTTGACTCGATCGTTATAACAGTGTCTTCACAGATGAATAATTTTTTTTAATTTTTCCTAGTATCCGATTATTTCCATTTTCTTTCGTTTCTATATTACAATTTTTCATTTGACAGACTGCTTGATAATATATATATATTCAACCGTTTACAAGCAAATAATTTTTTTGCTTAACTTATGCATTAATTCTTACTATAATCCATTAATGTATTGCGTAAAATAGAAATTTATTGTTAAAATTCAACTTACTTTTCTCTTGGGTGATTTGGTGGAAGCAGTCAACTCAGCTGTTGATATTGAAGCTTCCGTCGAGACTTCTTCTGTGAAAAGAAATTTATATTATTTTAGTTATTTCATATAATTAAATAAAGTAACAATTACTTTATTTATTTAAAATGAATTTATTTCTGCTAAATATCATGAAAAATATTTAAAAATAAATCATTAAAATTTATGATAAATGTCCCTAAACACAGACAGGTTGATATATCAACCACTCTGCAATCATTATAATACATAATCAACAAATCTAAGAAAGACTTTAAGCATCTTATTATACTCTAACTAGGATATTCTGAAAAAAAATTAAAAACCAAATCATTATAGAGTTCTGCCCAATTAAGGGCTTACAGCGATAAAAGTGAAAAACTTTGGAAAAGTGAAGCAAGTTATGAAGAGAATAAAGGAAGAATTAAGAACAGATAATTATGTTTCAGTATTATCCTAGTTACCTAATGTATATATTTTAATATTGTTGCTTAGGAATTGAATTCTATTATTAATATTAAACAAAAACATTTAGTCCTATTTTTTTTTTTTTTCTATATTTACAATGAATAAACATAACCTTGTGAGAAGAGGATACAGTATTGTATAAAGAAATGTGACAAAGGCAAATAATGCCCTAATGATTTTATTTCTTTCATATTTAAGGCAATAAAACTTCCACCTACCGGAAATCCAGTTTGGCATATATAACGACAAAAAATTAAGTAAATACTTGACAAACACAAAAGACAAGATAGAACCACTGGACAAGAAAAATGTTGTTTATAAATTAGACTGCCAACATTGCCAACAAATATATATAGATGAAACTTAAAAAAAAAATAAAAACCAGAATAGCACAACATACATCAAACTGCAAAAATAGTAAAAATATTAACATAACAGCCCTAGCAAACCGCAGTATTAAATCATTACACACTTTTGACTTCAAAAACCCAGAAATACTGGCAATAGAACATAAAACAAATAATAGGAAACTGCTGGAAGCTATACATATAACAAAAAACAATAATAGAACAGTAAACTATAAAACAGATACAAAACATTTAGGTACACACTATTCGGACATAATATCCAATATTAAAATTAAAAAAAAACAACAATAGCCAAAAAAACACAACAAACAACCATAATAAGAAATAAGAGGATGGGTACAAAGTAAAGAAATAAAACTAAAGCTAGCCAGATGTTGATTAGTGTACCAATGAATATGTGTAACACCAAAAAATAGTTTTAAAAAAAATGTGAGAAATATTTAATTTTTGACAAATGGTGCCACATCAAAAAAAAGAAAGGTAAACAATTGTAAAATAGATAAATTAGAATGATATTGTTAAATAAAAGTTAATATAGGATGTGCATAATTTCAGTAAAAATAAAAATTGCTCTGATGATGGAAAAATTGTCCCGAAACGTAAGAGAAAACAAACATAATTAAAAAAATATGAAGAATATTGGAAGTTTTTTTGCATTAAATATGAAAAAAATTATAAATATAAGCTTCCTAGTAAAACAAGAAAAATAAGAAGATTTTATTTCTATTTTAAAAAAGAAGATATGTAAATGTGGAACTAAAATAAGGCTATTTGTTTTTTGTTGTGTAATTGAAGAAATAAAGTAGGATTAAAGGAGCAAATATGTTTGTTTATTATTAGAAATTTTAATTTACTTCCACGACATTTGAAAGATATTACCTTTTTGGATTGTGGATGAAGAAGATGCGGTTATCCTCTCTACCAGACTGCTAGGGCTGCTGGACTCCGGAGAGGAAGGGAAGGTGGTCAGAGGCGTCACAACGTAGACCTTCTCTTTGGTGAGCGGTGATATCGACACAGCACCCAATTGCTCCCATGGTTTGGTCGTTGTTGATGGTTGTTCCGTCGAAGGCTTCAGCTTGGTCTCCGCTAAAGACCAACCGTTCACTTCGTGGATGAACGTCTCTTCCTTCACCTCTTCGTCACCCTTCTTTCCATCTGGAGCCTTGAATGTGACCGGGACGTGCTGACTTGCCGACATGTCGTGGTCAGGCGAAGTAGGTTTGGTCTCCTCTTCAGTTGCCGGTGTGGTGAAATATTCCTCAGGAATGACCTTAGAGTTCTGAGGGATGGTGTCTCTCTTCCCGTAACCCTCAACAGTCCACGTATCGATGTTCTTCTGCAATCTAGCCAGATCCACGGTATCCTCTTCTCCTTGTAATATCGCGCGAATGTTATCAGCAATGACGTGTTGTAAATGTCCCTTTCCTGTTTCCTGTTGCGTGAAACCGATTTCTAACAGTTTATTCATAACGTCCGGAGGAAGCGAGTTTAGTACTTGAGGTAAATGTAACGATTCGAGATTTTCCGACCCAGTTGCCGTAAGCGGATAGTTGATGTCTGTAGTCTGGGAATTATCTGGAGCGGTCACCGCCCTGTTGAGGTATACGGCGGAGAGATCTGATTCAGGTGGCGGGGGAACCTTTCTTGCCTGAGGAGAATCTCTTACGTAAGGTATAATGATCTGGTGCACTTGCCTGGGCTTCGGTGTCGGGGAAGTCTGGTGGACAAATGGTTGAGGAGAGCTCTGTGATTGTGTCGTTTGCCAGGATGGGACCTCGACGCTCTGTGAGTCATATGCTGTTCCGTTATAGTCAGAGCTGTGAGAATCTCTCGACCCATCATTGCTTAAAACGAAAGTGGAAGCTCCCTGGTTATCAGTAAAACGATTTTCTTTAGAATCTGAAGGAATTGAATTCGCCTTCGTCGTGACAGACTTAACGAGCGACGATGACTTGTCACTATCATGATATTGATTGTATAAATGCTGATTAAAAGTATGGTAACCTAAGTTTACATATTTGGGGAGGTCAGGTACATCGAGAAGTGGAGCCTGGATGATCTGCATCGGGTATTCAATGGATGAGAGGTATTCACTGACGGGTATGCTTTTCGTAACAAAAACTTGTGTGTTTTCTCCGGGATTCTGAGCTATGGTTGGACGTTGAGTAGACGATCCTAAATGAGATACAGTAACACTTGAAGCTTCGTGCGCAGAATCACTCAATGGAAGTTGTCCAAAATCACCAACACCGTCTTTCACAGGTTCTAAACCTCCATCTCCATGGCTAAGGTCAGGTCCTGTCGATGGGCAGCGGCTGCAAATAGGATCGTTTCGTGGATCGTAAGCACTACGTTGGAATGTTTCTTTGGATGATCACGCCAGGTTTGTCGTAATTTTGTGCTTCGTGAAGAGGCGGTAGTGGGTTGGAGCTAAGTTCGGGGAACGGGATAGGTTTGGTGAGCGAAGAATAATGGCCTCCGTTGAGTGGGGGTGGTGAGAGGTACTGTTGGTAGCTCACTGAATCCGTTGCGGAGTTCTGGGGCTGGCTGTGGGGTGTAGGTTGTGGCAATCTCAACTGGTTGGGTACAGCATAATTTGGTTTAGGCTTCGATGGTGCTACATCTTGCCCTCTCGGCGGGCCATAATTGTTCTGTGGAGGACCATATGTCTTCGGAGGATTGTTGAATCTAAGTGGTCCATGGAAGTTTTTAGGTGGTCCATAAGAATGTTTAGGCCCATTTAGTGGACGCGGAGGTCCGAAAGATTTCGACGGAGGCAAATATTGTGGTCCGGGCTTTGATCCTCCGTTTGGTGGCCCGTAATAGTTTTTAGGAGGACCATAGTTCGGTTTTGGAGGCGATGGACTGTGACCTATAATTGGAGGTCCATATTGTTGGTTAGGAGGTCCATACTCCGCTTTAGGGGGACCGTACTCTGGTTTAGGTGGTCCATAGGATGGCTTAGGAGGTCCATATCCATTGCTTGGTTTTCCATGTCCTGATTGGGGTGGTCTGAAATCTAATTTTGGATCTCTGAAATCAGGCTTCGGAGGTCCATACTCAGATTTTGGTGGCCCATATTCAGGGTTGGGAGGTCCATATTCAGATTTTGGAGGTCCATATTCAGGTTTCGGAGGTCCATAATCAGATTTTGGAGGACCGTACTCAGGCTTGGGTGGACCATATTCAGAACTAGGAGGTCCATACTCAGATTTGGGAGGAGGTCTCAAATCTGGCGGGCTATAATCTGGTTTTGGTGAGCCACCACTTGGGTTAGGTGTTCCATAATCAGGTTTAGGTGGACCATATTCGGGCTTTGGTGGTCCATACTCAGGTTTGGGAGGTCCATATTCTGGTTTTGGAGGTCCGTATTCTGATTTCGGTGGTCCATATTCAGGTTTAGGAGGACCGTAATCCGGCTTAGGAGGTCCATATTCAGGTTTAGGTTGTTCATATTCAGGTTTCGGGGGTCCATACTCTGGCTTAGGAGGACCATATTCAGGTTTTGGAGGCCCGTATTCAGGTTTCGGAGGGCCGTACTCAGGTTTTGGAGGTCCATATTCAGGTTTTGGTGGACCGTACTGATTAGAAACTAGAGGAAGCGCTGCGAGACTTATTGTAGGCACATGGAAAGAATATTGCTGCCCATTATCTGTGTAGGTTGCAGGCACGTGATTGACCGCCCTGGCAACTGGTATCCAAGGAATAGCGTTGCAAGGACTACAGTCCCTGATCTTCTGGTTCTTTCCTCTCTCTTGAGCGTAGTATTGACTAGACCTGACGTGGTTGGTTGGTTGCTGTTGTTGGTTCTTATCCTTATTGGAAAAGAACCACCTAGCAATCCTTTGTGTGATCGAGGCAAGAGGTCCTGACGAATTTTCTGTAGGTGCTTCACCAGAGACTAACAACGCTATCGTCAGCAGCAAGATTACCTGTAACATAATTTAAAAAAAAAATTAAACTTCCTATTACAGAAAAAACAATTCAATGAATTTGAAATATAAGGTTAATACATTGTAAGTATTATATCAGTGCATATATAATAGAAGAGGTGCCAATGATAATTGGCCATTTAAATAGTCATAGTAATCGGTTGGTTCAGGTGAAACTTTAAGTCCTACACATCATTATTACGAAATAAATTGACCAATTAATGTTTCGAACAAATCGATTTGAGATAATGAGTTGAATGAGTTATTAATAACATTAATATGTTATGAACTGTGTTTTAGTACCACTACTATTCATGTCATTCTAAGTTTTCAACACCCTATGTAATGATTTAAATATTCTTGTGTATATTAGTAAAGACTTAATATCCTGTCAGACAATGACCTGTTTTATATTACGTAGTATTTGAATTATATTTTATTCAATATGTCTTTAAATTCAGTTTTAAATTAATACGATGAACTAAATGACTCATGCAAATAATTCACAAAGAATACTAGTCACCAAAGATGGGCAAATACTACTCTGATTATTCAATATCAAGTATTTCACTCAAATACTGACCTTTTTTTTCAGTAAACAAATGACAAAATAATGTAGATATTAAATAATTCGACGTATCATAAGATGAAGAAATCATTTCCAATTTTTTCAGTAATTGTTATCAACCAAGGAAAAGAAAATCATTGTTTAACTTCATTTATGAACAGCTGTGTACGATTTGCAATTGGTGCCCCGAGATACTCCCATGTCTCTCACCACTGCACTGAATAAATGTGGCTCTTCCCCTCCAATCGAAGACAAGGTACCTTCCTAGGTACGTTCCTCTATCAAATCATCAACAATCATCGTCCTTCTTACGACTACAGCCTTCTCCAATTCAAGTCCTCAGTCCACTCCCTTTTCACAAGATCTCGACCTTCCGACCTTTACATTTCTTCTCACAGATCTGCCAAAATTCGTTTATTGCTCGCTGTGTTATTTTTTGGAATTCCCTTCCAATCAAAATTCGCATTCTCCCTCCCTATCTACATTTAAAACCCTCTTATTCCAATTTCCAAAAACAGTCAGATACCCCCCCTCCCACTAACGTTCTATGTAAATTTACATATTATTCAAAACGATTCACATAATGATATAATTACATATAATTCATCATTTAAATTCTAACTATCAGATTGGTCTTATTTTCCTTTTTTTTTTTTTTTTTATGCAGAGACAGAGTTTATTGCTAAGAAGAATGTAATGTATTTTTAATTTTAAAGTGTATACTTATATTTTACCACTGTACATAGATTTAAGTGTCTTGGCATGGTTTCAAGTGTTTTGTATAGATAGATTTTTTTTAATTTGTGCATAGTATGTTTAACTAATATTTTCATTACCTTTTTTTTTTTTTTTTTTTTTTACTTTTGTTTTTACTTAGGCCAGATATAATACTTTAATTTTGTTCTTTTTTTGTTATTCTAAAGGAACTTCGTCCCATAGTAAAATTATTTTCTATTCTATTTATGTTTTAAACCGAATTTTTTAAGAAATATAATATAATAGCCTAAATCACAGGTAATAATTGTCCAAATTCGATGATTTTTTTTTATGTAGAGAATTTAGTAATTGTTCAAACAATCACAAAAAAAAAGTATACTATTTGCATTATTATTATCAAAAAAAGAAAATTACAGACATAAATCTTCGATATCGATATTAGTAAATGTACTGATATATCCAATAACAAGTGATATCAAATTGAAATAGTTGAGATACTTAAAAAAATATATCGTATGTATCCATTAAATCACTAAGAACAATGATGAATTTTCCCTTCGTGAAATCAGAATTGTAATTATATTTGAAATATAAGGATAAGTGAGGTATTCCCGGTAAGTTAGTGAGATTGACGAAGGCGTGTGACAAATGATCCTAAATGCAGGGTACTAATACAAGGAGACGTATCTGAAGCCTTTGAAGTTCGAATGGGTTTGAGGCAGGGAGATGGACTCTCGCCGATGCTGTTCAACTTAGCACTAGAGAAAGTAATAAGAACAACATCACGCGAAGATGGAGGGGTGTACGCCGGAATGAACCACAAAATCCTAGCAAATGTGGATGATATAGCTGTCCTCGGAAGTAATCAAGAGGATATTGAGAGACTCGTTCGGACTGTGTTGAAAGAAGTAGAGGAAATCGGACTACAAGTCAATGTAGATATTTAAACAACTCTTATTCCACCACATACTTCATTTTCAAACTTCTATACCTATCTCTTATTGGATTCTCTAATTAAAACTGCTCACCCACAATTAATTGACAAGTTTCATTTCATTTATTTATTTATTTTTTCTTTGCATACATATAAACCATATAAAATGTACTACTGTTAAGGTGAACTAGTGTTTACTGTTATTATTCAGGTATGATTGCGACAACAATTGAAATTAACATTCAAATGACCTCTTTGTATTCTGTCAAACAAGACTAACGGACCAATATTTTGTACAATGTTATGAGGGGACTTTAGTCCCAGAAAAAATTATTTTTTCATTTCATAAATCATGAGAACTATTTTTCTATTTACCAATTTATTCCCAGTTAATATAGATATTAGAGTGGTAATAATGGTTACACTTGATAACATGGTATATGATAATAGCATTAGGAGAAATCTTAATAAAAAGCCTCACAGAAGTGGCACAACTGAGACCTCCAAACCCGATAATACACTTGGCAAACTTCCTTTTAGCTTTCAATAAATCAGAGGATTTGGCCGAACCTCTTCAGGCACGGGCGGATCTACCGGGGGGAGGCTTTCGGGCTGAAGCCCCTCCCCAAAAAATGGTAAAATATAACCATGTTTTATCGCAAAAAATATTAAAAAATTATCTCTTAAAGTATAATTATTCGTATAATTACATTTAAAAGGGCTTTAGGAATCACTTAAACACCAGTTCATATAGGTAGTTAGTTTCTTTCTTATTTACCAAAGTAATTATTGTTATTTTTATGAAAAAATAAGCTTTCGGGCTGAAGCCCCTCCCCCAAAATTAAATCCTGGATCCGCTAGTGTCTTCAGGTGAGAATAATTTAATATATTATTATTTTAATTTATTATTATGTATTCTTGATAACATGATTAAGGAGAAAAAAGTGATGAAAACTGCTTCTATCAGTTCAGATTTCCAAGCAAATGGGACACTGAGATCTTTTGACTTCAATTAAGAAGGAAAAAAAAATAATAATTTGTCAATTTCAAACAAGTAAATATTTATTAGTTTTTTAAAACTTGAGTGTAAATTTACTGTTGGCTACATTTGCTAATGACTCAGCAATATTAACATCTAACAAGGATCAACAACACCTAGACGACATAGCTTGTTGGGCTAAAAGGTGGAGGTAAACATATTTTTTATTCGTTTTCTACGTATCGTGAAACGTACAATCTCAAGTTTTTGGGAGGGACGTGTAATTTTTTTAATTTTTTGGACAATTACAATGGTTCATTACTGAAAATAACAAACCAAAACAAGATAACCATACCATAAAAAAGGTATATTGGTGGTTATAACATATTAGCGTGATGTCTTGATCCGCCAGTTCAAGCCGAAAGGCAACTTATCCTTCGACCGAAGACGAGGGTACACGAAGAGGACGGCCAAAGATCACGAGAGCAAGGAGTCGATAACAGTTATCGGTACAGAAGATCTTGGAGAACTTTCTCCACGACCTTGGCCCCGTGTTCTCCGATTGTTCTAGGTCCGCTGGGAACTGGGAAAGTTCTCGGGCGTCACTATTTGCTCTAATGAGGATTTTGGATGGTTGTGTTTCGTTGAAGGGTATATCTAAATCAACTTCGTTGAGGTGAGGGCGGGGTGGTCGAATGGGCTAAAGCGTGTGCACAGCACCGCGAGTTGCCTGGCAACCAGATATATGAAGTTTTGAGAGATAAAAAATAGTACGAGTTCGCGTCCCGGTGCCGAAGGGGATTTTAAATTCTCCGCCCTCACCCCCCGGCAGGGGAAAATCCCGTATAGCCTAAAAGGCGAGGTAGGGAAGAAAAAAAAACTTCGTTGAGGTCCCCCTTACACGATCAATATTATTGAGTTAATGTTATGTCAGTTACGATCTTGCTTTTCCCAAATGAGTAGATAACTTCTTTAATATAGCTAAACATGAATAATATACAGTAGAAAAAATATTATCAGTAGTCTTATCAGAAATCTTATCAGTTGTGAAAAATGCCAATTCAATAAATTATAATGAGCAAGTCACTAATCTCAATACTGAGATCATTGATAACGATCGGATATCCATCAGGCAGTTCCTAAATTCATCGATGTAACAGTAGGCAAGTTCTAAACTCATTCCTGAGAACATTGTTGAGGTTTGGAAATCTATCGATGAGTTCAAGAACTTGTCCAATACTATAAAAAAACGCTGCAAATTATTTCACAATGGTTTATTATTTCCAAACAATTATACATCGAAAGTAACATTATCTTCTGAGGTACAAAGAAAAATAAACAAAAGGTGATTCCAATTATTGTACTATATTATTTTTTTTTAATCATTAGTAATATGCTAAAAACAATTAGCATTAGTTCAGTAACACATTCAAAATTTAAAAACCAAACCAAGGATATAACATTTGGAGTAGAACATATAAAAAAAAACCGGAGACCATATCTTTGCTCCTAATTGTCCGATTTTAACGATTTTTTTTTTTTAGGAAATTTCGTAAACTTTTAAAAAACTATATACAATATCAACAAACAAGTATAAACTTTTCGAGTTATTCGGAATTTAATTTTACCATCCCTCATAAATTTTTTTCCAGCTTCTTTCCGTTGAAGTATGTTATATAGATAAATTTAATGGGCTTCGTGAAAATGACTTTAGCGAAGTTTCATTGAAATCTGTATATTCATTTAGGAGCTACAGTCTATAACAACGCAGGTTTTTCGGCGCTATTTGAAAAAGATCGTTATTCGTTTGTCGAATTCTACGAGGTCCTGAACGTGATATACTCAAAATTTGAAAAAAAAAATTGGTCCAGTAGTTTCGAAGAAAATGCGCCGACGTCGGACGGACAAATAAATTACAATGGTTGATTATTGAAAATAGTAAACCAAAAATATATATTTTAAAACCCAGATATCTTTACTAATAATTTCTGATTCCGATGAGACTTTTTTTGTTTTTAGGAAATACCTTTGAAATGCGTCATTATAAAAATCCCTCCCCAAAAAGTGTATACTTCTTGAGTGATACGGAAATCTAATTTGACCGCCCCTCGTAACTTTTATTCCAGCTTCTTTTCGTTGAAGTACGTTATATATAATTTCAAGGGAATGGAGGAGAAGACTTTAGTCAAGTTTCATTGAAATTGGCTTAAGATCTGAATGGGGTGGGTTACAAATTGAACTTTTTCTGGATGATTTGGCATGGAATGACCTTTACTCCAAATCATAAAAACTGAAAATTAGACTTAGAAACTAACTACATCCACATAACTACTTAAAACTATATGGACATAGGATTCACAGATTTATGGTTAAGAAAAAAGTTTCAAGCAAAAAATATACAAAGAAATACAATCTTTTTAATCCAAAATTTTAGGACTAATAGTCGACATTTTGTAAATAACAAAACTCGACTAAAAAGGAGCTGGATGAGAGTCCTTTTATAATTCAACGGACTTAAGCAAGGCTGTGAAGAGTCACTTGTGGGTACTATCCTGCCACATTAATGAAATATAATTTTCTTCTCATTGATTATTACCACTTTTATGAATAACAGGTGCCTTATGATTTTCAGTACTGGGGACTCAAGGATTATAATATGTTTTGACACAGTTAATAAAATATTTTAATATTATATTTTCGGGGCGGCGTGTCATTAATCAGTGCGTAACATCAAAGTCGATGCCGATCTCATCGAGGAGATATCGATTCTTAAAACAGAAACCGCATGACGAAGTCGATATTCACCTTTTCGAACTTCATCATGACTGAGCGTCGAAATTAAAGAAACGCTCCCTGTTAAAGAGGATGACTTTCTACCTCCTGGCGAAAACGAAATCCCAACTTCTTATAACTCAGGAGGCTCCGAAATGATCTTCCCTACCCACACTGGAGTAGTAACGAATTTTCACAGGACAGAGGATCAGGTCCTGTTTGAAGAGTGTGAATCCTCTGTCCTGCTGTTCGGGGGAAAGCCGATGTCCTTTGTCCTTCGGTAAAAGGCGTTCATTATAGCCCGAGGGGTGTCGGTCAATGGACGAAAGTCTTTCGCCGATCACCAGGAGTCTTCTGGAAAGCCGAAGATTGCGGAGGAGTTATTCGATAGTGTCTCGAAGGCCTTGATAATGAATTACTATACGAAAAGCCGTGAAAGTTCGGTACGTGCACGAGGAATCCAATTCTCTAATTCTCCAAAAATGTTATACGATGAGCTTAGAACCAGAGGGGTATAAGTGACAACATTTAAATTTTAAGTATACTCAGATAAAGATAAAACCACTCCGTAAGTTCTTGTTTATATTTTTATAAATAAATAAATTAAGTATTTCTCACTCTTCAATACATTTAAAGCATCTTTGACAGTTGAAACAGATTTAAATTACTTGAATATCTTCCAAACTTTTAAGACTATCAATAACCAATAAAAACTGAGAAAGCAATTCGCTAACCCTTCATAAAATTCTGGTATTTGAGCATGACAGGGCGTTTATCTTTGATAAAAAAAAAAAAGCGGTTTCAAGGGTTAGTGAAATAATACTTGTGGAATGTATAATAGCAGATCTTTAATATATTTAATTTATGTATTTATTTATTTAATGAAAAATGTCTATTATATTTGTTTCATATTAAATTTTATTTAATTCTAGATGTATACACGTTTGTTTTTTGTTATTGTCCTATTATAATTTTAAGCACCTTAATAGTGTGTATAGGGGAGGTGTACAAGTATAGGGAGAAGTGAGAGGAAGGGAAATTAAATGTTAAAAAAAAAAAGCATGAGCAATGAAAGAAAAAAAAATGTATATACATATATATATATATACACATATAAACTAACCATTTCTGTATATTTATATATAAGTTTATTTATTGTCCTACGTATTAACGAATATGCTGTGTATATAGCAACTTAATATATTTGGGCAGCAAGCTTAAATATTTTATATGAAAATAAAGTGTTTCTCTCTCCTCTTAGAAAAGAAAAGTTGTCATTTAGTTTACGATAGATAAAAGATCTAAGAGGAGAGAGAAAACGGCTATGTTTTCAGGCTTAATGTTAGTTTCTGTCACATGATTTTTTTTTTCGAAAATCACAAAAAATGTTATAAATTCAATACGACTTTAGCTATCAGCAAGAATTGAGGGCCACATAAACTACACAAAATGATATTAACAGGACCTTCGTAAAGAAACTTTTTTTTCCATTAATAAAGTCTGTCTTTATATCCAAAGAAATTTGTCAACATTGGTTTTGAAACACAAAATGATTAATAATTATTTTCTTTTAAAAGAGCTTTTGGTATAAAGAGTATAGTTTGAGGTCCCTAGAAGCAAAGTGACTAAGTTTTGATTAAATTATTGTTACAATTAAAATTATTCTGTATTTAGAATAATTTTTCTGTACTGTTAGACTGGCTATAGGGTTTTCTCAATATTAAGTTATCGAAGGTTCTTTTAATGAAAATACTTATTTAATCGATTTAGTATCGATTAATCGTAAATTTTCCATTGTTGGATCGCTCCTAGAAAAGACCTGGAGCCAGGGTGCTTCAGAACGAAGCTTTTTAAACATGGTAAAAAAAATCGACCACTTATGCACCACTAGTCCGAGGTACCCTCTTTTTCGAATTATTAACATCCGCCTGAAACTTCGTTAATAGTTTCATCTCATCGTAACCTACAACTATTTTATTTACGAAAACTCTTGGAATTGGAGCGTTTTCAATCTGGAGGAGGACAAACTTTGTCTATTTAATTTTTAATTTTTAATTTTTAATTTTTAATTTATTGAGTATTAAAACAATTTGTCTCTTGGAAATTGGTTATAGTGAGGTAGGATGACATTCACACTATATGTACAAAAAATATAAAATAAATAGAAGCAAAATAATAATCAAAAGTATATACAATAAATAATAAAATAAAATAACCTAAAAATAAGAAAACTAAAACTAAGCAAAAAAAAACCACATGCATACCTGTCTATTTAATTAGTTACTAAAAACTTGTAAATACCCATTTGCTTTCTAATTTGATCATAAGATAATTTGATCACATAATAGAGAACATAGGTGGCCTACAAAAATATTGGACCGTTTGTCCTATATGACGTCGTTATTTTGAAATTTTGGGAGTATAGATCACGCCAAACGGGTCAATATTTTTGAAGGTCACCTCTTTTCTCGATTTTGTGATCAAATTATCTTAAGATCCAAGAAGAAAGCAAATAAGTATTTACGAGTTTTTAGACAAAGTTCATTGAATAGACAAAGTTTGCCCTTCTCCAGATTGAAAATGCCCCAATTCTAAGAGTTTCAGTAAATAAAATAGTTATAGGTTACGATGAGATGAAACCTTTTACGATGTTTCAAGAAGATGTTAATAATTCGATAAAAAGGGGTCTGTACCACGGACTAAACTTGTGGCGTACCAAAATCCGCTGAGGACATCGTTCATCCTTATAGCCTGCAACAACTATGATGAGGCACTGAAAACCAAACTGATGAGGTAGGCAGAGCTCTACATTTTAAAAGAAAACGAATTCCTTCAACTGATGTCTTAACGAAACATTTTTGGGTAGGTCGACAAGAAAGGCCGCCGAGAACAGAAGAAGAAGATGGAGGAAGAAGAAATTGAAAAATGAATCAAAGTATGCTGTGTGCACAGCACTTTATCACAATGTAAAGACATAAACTTGAAGCAATGATTTGCTATGCAGGAATGTATAGAAAATATAAAATAAAAAAAATTAGATATATATGTATATATCGATATATAATATATAAAATGAAACAGTGTCTTAGAAAGTATTTCTAAATTATATACTCTTAAAGTTATTTTGAACAGATTATGATTTTTTTTTCTTAAAACAACTCTGGATTCCTTTCCGTCCGTCGAGCAGGTAGATAACCTTGAGTCACGTAAGTGGAACAAAGACACGTAACACCGGCTGAGTTCTTTAAGTAACAGGATTAAAGAGAGGTAAACAAAAAGTAATACATGTTAATAAATACTTTGTAAAAGTTGTAATATTATAATATTATTAATACTATTTCATAACTTAGTAATCGTTCATGACTAATAATTTTCGTGTGAATGGTGAAGTTCTCACGATTTTTGTGGTTGTCAAAAAAATTTCGTGTAGAAAATTTTAATTTTTTTCCATTGCCATAAAAATTCGTATTTAAGAGTATTCTGAGGTGTGAAAATCAAATATAAACGTTTCTCACTAAAAATATATTTAAAAAAAATCAACATCAAAAAATTTTTTTATTCCTTGCTGCCCATCCTATAATTAAATCAAACCTGATTTATATATCCCTACCACATGGTTATATATTTGTTTATATTACTATTATATTTAATATTTATAATTATTATAAATAATTATTATTATAAATAATTATTATAGTATTGAAGGACGACTAGGGTAAGCTATAACAGGTTCCCATTTCACCGAAGCAGTCGGTGCAACTTCACCACTTCACTTTTAGGCCGCTTCTTTCACTTTCCAAGCGGGCCGTTTCTAGTTATCCTCAGTTTTCTATTTGTGGGTGTGACGCTTCATGTTTCATATTAATATATTGCAGAAAACTTAAATATCTTGTAAAAACAAAATAGATAAATAGATAAATATTAAAATTCATGTCCCAAAAATTGTTATGTTTTTATATTGGGTTGGCAAATAAGTCCTTTCGAAATATAAACATTATTTATTATTAAGGGAGGAGATAGTCCGGAGGGCGGTCATAAATAGGCTAAATAGTGGTAAAACTATTTTATTGAAAGCCGACGTTTCGACCCGACTTTGCAGGTCTTTTTCTGGGCTAGAACGGACAAGATACAAAAAGATAGAGAATTGCGGCAGTTATAAAATATTTAGACAATGCATAAATTATAATGCAACGGTCAACTATTAAATATTTATTATTTATTATTATTATCAACTTTATTATCCTTGCATTTGCGAATTGGAAGCTGAAGGCGGAGGACAAGTCAAACCACCTAAAGATATACTGGGTTGGCAAATAAGTCCTTTCGGTTTTCTGTTGTTTTTTTTGTCACTATGATACACTTCTTATCTGATGAATTAATCCCTAAGGTGGATTGTTTATCCTGTTTGCAGTATGTCAACAACTATATCTGTTAACTCTTTTTGAAACTAACTCAGTATTGTTTTTGCTATTGCACTGTGATTATGGAAGAAAATATCATTCATTATCGGCATGGATAAGGAGGGATCATGAAGGATTTTTAAAGATAGGGAATTCCAGAAAAAAGCAGAGCGGACAACGAAGTAGTTTTGGAGAAAAAGGGCGGTTTTGTGAAAAGTAATATTAAGGTCAGAAAGTCGGGATCTTGTGGTAAGAGAGTAGACAGAGGACTTGGAGGACTTTAATTTTTTGTACTGTCAGCAATAAAATACATAAGATGTAAAATAAACATTTAAGCTAAACATTTTTTATTTATTTTTTACTTTTTGTTAATGTGATTTCGTTTTTAAAATATTATAAAACACATAAAATAAGAAAGGAGCATGATGGAATAATAATCTCTGCTATTATATTATTCAGTAATTTATATAAATAAATAAATTTATTCTCCCGACGTTATTATTTGCTAATCAGCCGATGCCTAATTTCCATTGCGAGGTAGAAAGCATTGACAATGAACTAACGAGCTCCCTACTGAGCAGAAGACATTAAGAGTCATTAGACCAAGACTAGGAAGAAGCCATCCAGTTCTCAGCGGTTCCTAGGATA